ACTGCAGTTAAAATTACCGCTAGGTTCACTGCCTACTCGATACAAAATCAAAAATTATTTTTTTGTGGTTATTTTAATTTGAAAATTACTAAAATTACGGAAATTTTCACTTTTTTTGTTTACTATAAATAATAAATTATGCTTCATTAATAAAGACATACAATGACATAATATTAACGTATAATATTAGTCATGAATAATATAATATAGGTGCCAACATACTTATTATGTGCCGATAATTACTTGTACAATTTGATGTTTTGATATGACTATAATTAGGAGGTAGTAATTGATATTACTATTTGTAATAGGTAATTAAAATACTTTAGTTAATAATATTATTATATTATTAAAATAATATTTATTATAGTCAAATCCCTCCCAAAAAAATTAAATATTTCAAAATCAGGATAACGAGAAAATAAATACTAAATTGAACAAATATTTTTAAAGAAAATGTTTAATGTATATACAACTATTTTGCTATAATATGGTATATGTANTGTTGACACGGCAATATTTTTCAGTAAACCTTTTTCAGAATCGTTTTTTCGATAGCAATGGTTTTCGATGCTTACAGATTTACATTATATTTCAGTCTGAATTTTACATTCCTAATTTTCCAACTACAATAACAGTGGCTGCAAACACATGCAATGTAATTTAATTGAAGACAGTTTAATGAAACTCTTATACTTTGCATCTTAATAATAGAGGTGGTACTAATGATAGGAGTGGCCTCCATTACAAGTGAAAAGTTAGGTACATATAATATACAGGGTGATTTCATTTCGTCAAAAAATGGTATATCTATTCTAACAGATATATCATTGCTTAATGAAACACTCTTCTGGGTGAATTTGATACCGTTTGAAAGTAAATCATAAAGGCCACAAAAAAGTTATATTGTGATTTTTCGATTAATACATGGACGACCTATTTTCGAAGAGAACGTCGTCCGTGTTTTAATAAAATAATAAAATAGAGAAATTGTACGTTTTTATTTTTTTTTTAAGTGCTTTTATTTGAAACATGGCGTTAATAATCTTAAAAGTACCTTTGTGCTTACAGAAAACTTGGCACACATTGTTGCAACACTATTGTAATACTGATAGCTACTTCGATACGCTTGGAATCTAAAAGTAGAAAAAGTTTTTTTTTTCAAATAAAGGAATGATGACAAATTTTTGTACCGTTACTTCTACCAATCGTTGTCAACACTTTTTTCATGAATTTGCAAAAAAAATATTAGAAGTATGAAAATGCTTAAAGAAATAAAATTGAAAAAAGAATGGTTATTTGTAGATATAAATTTTACATAATTCAAGAAATTTGTTTTTAGGATCTACCTGTTAAATAAATAAAATGTGATTTGTTTTTAATTTTCAACGATTTTTTTTTTTTAAATAATATACGCCTAGAAATGTGTAGTGCACAATGCCTCTGTTGTTTAAACAAGGCCCAGATGAGATAAACCTGATAACGATACTTAATTTCTGAATAAATAATCGGTTTAATTACAAGGTCTTTTCGTTTAGATGACATTTTTGTTTGACAAGCTCTGCAAAATTTTAAGTAAATTAGTATCACTTCTTGAGTCTGGTGTCTGTATTTAGTTTTAATTTCTGTATTCACTTAGTGATTACCACCACGACCAAATTTAGCGTATATTTCATTTTGTCTGTCATATAATTCATCATTTTGTGCGTAAAACCTATAGTAAATTTGTCCCAACTTTTCGATTGGTGCTATAGGTTTAATATTGATGAATATAGATGAATTATAAGTTAAGATTAGTTATTTTAATCTGGCAGTTTGGTGATTTACTGTTGTGAGACCATGATACAAACCAGAAATGGACATGAATTATGAGTGTTAATCAGTATTTTATTTTATTATAGGTTGCATAATGGTAAATATGAACTGCAGATAAATTATTGAATATCTATTTATATTTGTTAAACGCATACCCAGGTATACAAAATGCTAACAAAAACTCCTACTGTATTTAATAAATAACTTTTAATATTTCCAACATTCCTAGTTAGCGTTACTATTATTCAGGAATGTTGATATTTCATGTTTTGATATGAAATATAACACATTAGCTAAAGAGCATGGCTAATATAAACACTATGTGCATGTTAACAATGTCCTGACATAAAATATCAACTTACTTTATTGCAATAATTCTGCGTGGATGCTATTAAAATTATTTTACACTTTTTCGTACTTTTCACTAACAAAATCAACAACAAAATGTATAGAATACAAAATGTATAGATAAGATAGAAAACTGTTCCATTATTTAACACAGAATTCACAAATTAAAACAATGTAGTAATATTTTATATTTTATGCCGGGTCCTAATTTATATGTAAAAGGTTAATTTTTATTTTTATTTACTCTTTGGATAAATATTTAACCTCATCCATAAAAATTTAATTTATCTAAAAATATTGGCAACACATTTCTATGATTNCAATATTTTTGCGTGGATGCTATTAATATAATTTTCCACTTTTTCTTACTTTTCACTTACAAAATCAACAACAAAATGTATAGAATACAAAATGTTTAGATAAGATAGAAAATTGTTCCATTATTTAGTACAGAATTCACAAATTAAAACAATGTAGTAATATTATATATTTTATGCCGGGTACAAAGTTATATGTAAAAGGTTAATTTTTATTTTTATTTACTCTTTGGATAAATATTTAACCTCATCCATAAAACTTTAATTTATCTTCATAAAGGCACTAAATCAATATATGTTGCAATTTTTTTTTTCTTCATTTGCTAATACCTGCATGCAGTATAACACATTAAATCATGGAATTTATCAATTAAAAAACAAACAAAAAAATGGCAAAGTAATTTAATATAAATTTTTGTAAACACATTTCTATGATTTATAATAAATATCTGTTTGTGCAGCTTGTTACACACTCATAAAAAATAATAATTATCCTGTCATATTTCTGTATATTTCACCAAAATCTATAACCTAGTTTAAATTCAAAAATCCAGTAAATAATTTTGGTTGAATTCTAAATCTAGTTGGTTCATAAAACAATGTCGTTCAAATCATTTTCTGAGTGTTTTTTCAAAATAATTGGGAAGACCCGTTACACAATATAGTAAATGCATTACCAAACGTACCAATTTGGGGATACTTAATAAAAACTATGGTTGTAGGAGAAAACTATTTGGGATATTTTTACTTTTTCTGGATTATATGGAAAAACAACTTTCACACTATGAGAAATTAAATACGTATGGTTTAGATTTCAAACAGAACAAACGAATCAGAAAAGGTATTTACTAAGTAGGAATCATAGAAATTTAGTTTTTAAAATGTACTAAATTAAAAAGTAAGTATTTTTTTTAAAATGACATATGTGAAAAAATTTAAATAAATATATTAACCTAGCCTGGAATTCTTGATTTCAGATTTATGTGTAGATGTTTAAAATAGTCTCAGACCGTCTGTCCGTAAGCAACTGTTAATTTCGTTACAATTAAATGAATTTATAATAAAATTTCGGTTTTTTCGATGATACGACAAAAATATTTTACGATAATTAGATTTGAAAACTAATATTAATATTTCAGTTAACGACTCAATATGTATTATGTATAACGAGAAATAATGTTTTGTTTACAATATATATAGAGATCAGAATCGATGCTTATTTTTTATTTACATTGACTAGAAAACCTTGATCACGGTTACATTAATAGATACCTTTTATAATTTTGTTTAAGATAAAAATATTATAATGCAATAAAACTGTAGTGACATTCGTTAAGGAAGAGAGTAGTGGTTGCAAGAAAGGGGTAGAAGATAAATCGCTTTTCTTGACGCTTTCCAATTCTCATGCTGAAAATAATAGTGGAAATGTATGATATGTATGTATTATATAAAAAATATTCTCAAAAAACATCAACGTGTACTAACAAATCATTTGGTGAATGTAAAAGCATGTTGGTTAGTCTTACAATTGTATACCTAATTGATGTAGTTACCGAATAAAATAAGGTACAAAACTTGCAAATAAAATGTCTGGAAATACCTCAAATGTTCGATCAATTTAAAAATATTATCAAGTCTGGAAAAGACAAATGTATGTTTTCTGTTAAAAATTCTAGTCTATGGATATTTTGAACTGATTTACAATAAAAAAAAAAAAAGACATCCTAGAATAGAAGGGAGAAGTGTAGCCACTCTTTTAAATAGTTTAATATACCGTAAACCATGGCTGACGAACAATCCAAGTCTAAGTCATGTTCAGTCGATAATTTTGTTTTCACAACAATGTTTTGTTTAAGCAATATACTATATTAAGGAACATATTTGGTTTTTTACATACACATTTCCAAAAGAAATACCGTTTAAAATAAGTTTTTTTTTAATTTGATTCATTTGCCTAGGACTCGTATTAAGTATAATAAATACAGCATATTTAATTTAAAAAATACAATAAAAGTTATTGTCTTGTATTAATTTTGGATTTAAGGTTTTCAATATTACAAACAAATAACTAAACTCTCACAGTATCATTATAGGTGGTAAGATGAGTAAATAATGTCTCATGAAATCAATACAACAAATGAACTATAATTAAAAACTATTTTATTTTTATCTTTATGACAAATGTATTACAAAAATACTGTAAGTTGAATTTTAATGCTTTATTTCTTAAATATGCAATAATAACGTTATTATATAGTTAACACAGCAAAGTTATTATACTATATAATTATTAGGATATATGCACTTTATGTCATCCCAATTTATTTTGTGTTGAATAGGTGTAAATTAATTTAATTTTTTGCAGTGCCTCAATTTGTGAGTGTGCTTCTTTATAAGAATAAATTATGGAAAGATCTTTTGGAATACTTAACATTATTATTGAATTTGCATAATAATTGGCAATTGGGCCTTTAATAATTGAAATCGTCACATACAACAAAAACAATCATATACAGTGGGACTATATTCACGTACACCTTTTTTACACACAGTTTCGGCCCATTTTTAATCTCTCCGAAAAGGTGGGGGGCAATCATCTGGGGGTGTTTTACCAGGTGGATTTTTAGAGTTATTAGCGATAGGTGGCTTATCAGGAGCACCTCCAACATCACCGTGTACTAACACTGACATAAAAGAATAGATAATAACATAACTGCCTATTAGATACAGGATCAAAAAATGTTTTTTTGTGTTTGTGTGAAAATTATGGAAATTTTCACTCTTTTTGTTTACTATAAATTATAAATTATGCTTTATTTATAAAGAAATATAATAACATAATATTGCTGTACAAAATATTTACGTATAATATTAGTCATGAATAATATAATATAGGTGCCAACATAGCTATTATGTGCCGATTATTACTTGTACAATTTGATGTGTTGATATGACTATAATTAGGAGGTATTAATTGTTATTACTATTTGTAATAATTAATAACAAATTACATTTATTTTAATATTATTTTATTATAAAAAAAATTTTTATTTTAGTCAAATCCCTCCCAAAATATTAAATATGTCAAAATCAGGATAACGGGAAAATAGATACAAATTTGAACAAATATTTTTAAAGAAAATGTTTAATGCATATGCAACTATTTTGCTATATTATTTATATAAACATTAAATTATTTTAAAGACCATATTTTGATCTTTACACACACGTTTGCAAAATACTTAACGTTTAAAATACGTATTTTTAATTTGTTTCATTTACCTAAAACTCATATAACGTTTTCATGAAAAAAAGGTATTTTATTTTTAAAAAAAAGACAATCTTAAGTAATAGTTTTGTCTTAATATTGGAGTTGTGGTTTTCAATATCAGGAACCAATAACTAATGTCTCGCAGGATCTTCATAGTTAATATGAAGACCCAAGTAATCAATATAACAATCAAACAGAAATTAAAAATTATTTTATTTCAACAATAATGCAAAATGTATTACACAATGACTGTACGGACAAATATTGACTTTTATGTTATTTTAAATCTAAAATAAAGTTATTATATAATTAACAAAGCAGGTTTTTTATAATATATTATTTTTATAGCATATGCAATTAATGGCATCCCAATATTCTAGTGGTTAGAAGGTGTAAACAATTAAATAGTTAGAAGTGGCTCAATTAACCAGGTTAATTGGTATTGTGATTATTGTTAGAAGGAATGCCATGGTGATTGGGAACAGGTGGATTGCCAGGGCCATCAGAGGAATATGGATTTGAAAGGAGCTCTTGTTGTGGCAAATCAGGACCAAACTCACCATCACCGTGTACTGACACTAACATAAAAGAATAAATAATAACATACGAAACGATAAATTTTAACAGCATATTTGCAATAAACCGAAATAGATACGCGGATAATAAGATATTCTTAGGAGACACAAAATTTATTTTATGCTTTGATTTTAATATATTTCGGTTAAACGTTAGGGTCTTAACAATTTATATTTAGTATATAGGTATGATTCCAGTTGACAGTAATAATTGCTACACGTTACGTTATAGTAGTAGTCGACTGATAAGTCAAATGTTCTTGCTAGAGGTTTAGATTGCCAAGTTTGTAAATTACGTATTCAACAAAATTTGATTTGAATCAGACAAAATCAGTTATATTAAAATAAAATTTAAAGTTATTAAATGTTTAAATATAAAATATTGTACTACTGAAATCATTAAAATCATTGAAACACTTTAATCCTAACTTGAATGTAGTATTATAATGTTTATACCATTATACAACTTATTATGGTTTATCACTTTCACATGACGGTCTAAGATAAATTATTTGAAAAAATTACTGCAGTTAAAATTACCGCTAGGTTCACTGCCTACTCGATACAGGATCAATAAATGTTTTTTCGTGTTTATTTTAAATGGAAAATTACTAAAATTATGGAAATTTTCACTTTTTTTGTTTACTATAAATTATAAATTATGCTTTATTAATAAAGACTTATGATAACATAATATTGTTGTACAAAATATTTACGTATGATANTATAATTAGGAGGTAGTAATTGTTATTACTATTTGTAATAAGTAATTAAAATACTTTAGTTAATAATATTATTATATTATTAAAATTAATTTTCATTATAGTCAAATCCCTGCCAAAAAATTGATGGTTACCATCGCTGACGAACAATCGAAGTCTAAGTCATGTTCAGTCGAATATAATGATTTCACAACAATGATTTGTTTAAGAATTACACTATATTAAGGAACATATTTTGTTCTTTACGTAAACATTTCTAAAAGAATTACCGTTTAAAATAAGTTTTTTTTAATTTAAATTAATTTCCCTACGACTCGTATTATGTTAAATATAAAGAACGTATTTTATTTTAAAAAAATGCAATGAAAGTAATTGTTTTGTCTTAATATTGGAGTTGTGGTTTTCAATATCACAAAGCAATAACTACGGTCCGCAGGAACTTCATAGGTAATATGATGTGTAAGTAATGTCTCATGAAATCAATACAACAAATAAACTGTATTTAAAAACTATTTTATTTTATCACTTATGATAAATGTATTACAAAAATACTGTACGGACAAAAGTTGACATTTAATGTTTTATTTTTTAAATATGCAAAAATAACGTTATTATATAGTTAACACAGCAAAGTTATTATACTATATAATTATTAGGATATATGCACTTTATGTCATCCCAATTTATTTTGTAGTGAGTAGGTGTAAATTAATTTAATTGTTTGCAGTGCCTCAATTTGTGAGTGTGCTTCTTTATAAGAATAAATTATGGAAAGATCTTTTGGAATACTTAACATTACTATTGAATTTGCATAATAAATGGCAATTGGGCCTTTAATAATTGAAATCGTCACTTACAACAAAAACAATTATATACAGTGGGACTATATTCACGTACACCTCTTTTACACACATTTTGGATCCAAAGAAAGTCTCTCTTACAAGGTGGGGGGCAATCAGCTGGGGGTGCATTATCAGGTGGCGGGTTAGGGTTATTAGCGATAGGTAGGTCATTAGGAGTACCTCCACCGTCACCGTGTACTAACACTAACATAAAAGAATAGATAATAACATAACCAGCGGTAAATTTTAATGGCATGTTTTCAATTAATCAGAAATAGATACGCAAATGATACGATATTTAAAGAAGACACAAAGTTAAGTTTTTTGCCCTTATTTTAAATATTTCAGTTGAAAGTTTTGGTTTTATAAATCAATTTGTCGGATATATGTGTGATTCTTGATAACAGTATATGTGTGATTCTTGATAACAGTAAAATTTTCTAAACGTTACGTTATGGCAGTAGTCGACTTATTATCCAAATGTTCTTGCTAGAGGTCGCCAAATTTGTAAATTACCTATTCAACAAAAGTTGATATTAATTAGACAAAATCAGTTTAGTTTTTCGTGGGTATTTTAATTTGGAAATTACTAAAATTACGGAAATTTACCCTTTTTTGTTTACTATAAAAGATAAATGATGATTTATTTATATTTATTGATAT